CCTTTTTATTTAGATCTGATATCTTAAAGTATATTATTTTTAATTTTTTTACAAATCATATGAATGTGATATTATGTACGTGCTATCACCTCGATGAGGCGCACTTAAAAACAATATATAAAAATATTCCCAATAAAATAAAATACCCTAAAAACTTTTAAGGGCATTTTAGTTATTTTATTTTATTGAACATATTTTTTTTATATATATATATATATATATTTTAACAAGTGCAAGAGAGGACTAGATGCCAAAATGTTGGTGTCCAAATATTTTATAGCATTTTTTTTTAAAACAATAAGGTTGAGGCATGACATTGTAATTGTGTGCATCTCAATCGTTCATTCGAAACAAAAGGCTAGATAGAGGGAAGCATAGAAAGCTTGCCCTTAACACAGGTGTACATAGGGCCCGAATTTCAAATAAATTCGATTTGTAGAAGAACTTTAAATTCACACAAATGAGAGTTAAAATTTGAAACTCTGGAATCGTCCATAATTATACTTGATGCCTCGATTTAAAAAAATTAAGGTAATTTTAATTAGGAAAAAGTTTATATAAGGATGCAACCTTATAATGTAGAACTACGGATGCACCTAAAAAATCCATCGGAAAATGTAGTTCTAATGTTGAAAAACCCTTTGATTGATCATCTCGACATCGATATGTATGACCATGAAAAATAAAAAGATTTTAAATCTAAAAAATAGTGCATTTTACAACATATTATCCACACCATCCATTTTCAAGATTTTCATATGTTTATAGATCTACTTGATTTTAACCATTTTTAAAATTTAATATTTTATAATTAGATATAAAAATAAATTTTGAAAAAATCCTAAGAACAATTTACATCAAAATTAATATATCATGATAAAATGCACCTTACTTCTATTGCTACACCCTTTTAATTATCACGAATAGGATAGTGCATTCTACAATATTTATTTTTGGGCCTGTGGGTGTACGCGTGCGTGTGCATGTGTACAATTTATGTAAGGTAAACAAAGTACAACACACCTCTAAGCGCTACGGAAAGATGCCGCTCTAGCACAGGAAAACCCAATGATGGCCTAGAAATATATTTCCAAACATAATTATAAATTTAAAGCTATAAAAATGTTACACATCAAACCAGTGTTTAAACGCATTCGACTCGGGAATCGCCATGTACGGATCAAATCGGTGAAAAAAACGGGAATCGTCCGGTTCTAGAGAGAACCGGACGTTTTTGTACAGTGACTCGTCGATTTACTGTTCGGAATCGGCGAGTCCCGTACGGAATTTTTTTTTTTTTGTAATCCATGATCGAATTTTTTGCTTTTTTTTTTTTTGTAACCCATGATAGAATTTTTTATAATCCATGATCGAATTTTTTGTAATCCATGATCGAAATGTTTGTTTTTTTTCTTGTAATCCATGATCGAATTTTTTGTTTTTGTTTTTTTTATAACCCATGATAGAATTTTTTGTAATCCATGAACGAATGTTTTG